GTCCACAATGGCCACTGCACTGGAGGCTGCTACTGCCAGAGCCATGACACCTGGAATGGCTGTACTGAGTCACTCTGGTGCTGGGAGCAGTGCTGAGAAAAAGAACGGTGCTGGGAGCGTGACCTGGATATCACACCCTTTGATAAGACTCGGCCTCAGAGTCAGAAGAATAGTCTGAGGCCAACCAGGGCAGAGCGGAGGAGGTAAGCACTGGAGAATGGTGCTGGGGAGCATGCTTGGCCATTGACTCAGGCTTGCCCTGGGGCTGAGCACTCTGGTGCTGGGAGCAGTGCTGAGAAAAAGAACGGTGCTGGGAGCGTGACCTGGATATCACACCCTTTGATAAGACTCGGCCTCAGAGTCAGAAGAATAGTCTGAGGCCAACCAGGGCAGAGCGGAGGAGGTAAGCACTGGAGAATGGTGCTGGGGAGCATGCTTGGCCATTGACTCAGGCTTGCCCTGGGGCTGAGATGGAGGATGCAGCGGCATCAGCTGCTCCAAAGTTGCATCCACTGGCAGAGCTCGTGTGTATGACAGTGCCAAAGGCTGGGGCACAAGGAAAGGCACCCAGGGTGGTACCAAAGGTGTTGGTGCCAAAGGTCCTCTATGACTCAAATGAGGGTTTGGCTGCTGGTGCCGGAGTTGGAGGCAGCAGCTTGGTGAGGGTGGCACGGTTATCCTGTCGGTACACTAGGCCAGAAGGCAAGGCTAGTGAGGAGATCAGCTCTATAAGCTCCCTCGGTGGTGTGGAGAGCCCGTCCACCTCGGTCAAGTCATCCTCTGGGTTCGGATCCCAGGGCGGGCTTGACTGGTGCTGGTGTGTGCGCCACAATGGAGACCTGTCCCTGCTAGGTCTCCGCTTCTTCTGAGGCACCAGAGATTGGGAACGGTGCCGAGCCTGGGTATGCTGTGGCACCGAGGATGCCCTGAAAGTTCTGGGTGCCACCACACCGAAGCAGGTGACCTTTGGCTGGCTGGTGCCGGATGGAACACCACCTCCATTAGCAAGATCTGAGAGTCCGTTTCCCATTTGGTACAAGGCTTGAAGCTGCAGCAAATCTTGCAGTTGATGGGAAGATGAGCTTCTTGGAGGCACTTTAGACAGGCTTCGTGTGGCATAGGCTTAATGCACTTGGGGCAGGGCTTAAAGCCTTGAGGCCCGGGTATGCCCTGCATAAGAGGCACGGGGACGCGAAAGCAAGTCCCTAATTATTTACACTGTGAAACTAACCTACTACTAAACAACAAACAACACTAGAAAAACTAGAACTGCTACTAAAACTATTTAAAATGAGAACCACTTAAGGCTCACTTGGAGAGCAAGCTAGAAACATTCCAATGACTGTCATGGGCTGTTAGAAGGAACTGAGGGGGTGGAAAGTTGGCAGAGGTATATATGCGCACATATATAGGCACCACTCCAGGGGGCTCTCCTGCCAGCCCAATGGGTACTGTGGAGGAAAAACCTTCCAACAATCGATGCATGCAGCGCACACATTTACATGGAATGGACGTGAGCAATCACTTGAAGGAGTACTTTAACTGTTTCCCCTGGGCTGCTGAACACCAGGCATCAGAACCAGGAGCACAGAATATTTTACCTTTGTTCCCCACGCTCACACGGCTGGTACCAAGCCAGCACAGAAGGGGAGAAGATGACAGCCTTACTCAAATGAAGAGGAATAAAAATGGAAATGGACAAGGGCATAGAGGAACAGGACAGATGGCAGGATAATAGAGTGGGAAAATGCTGCCCTGCATTACCTGCCTTTTTTACTTCCCCCTGCCATCACCTGCTCCTACTGCCTCTAACTTTCAGCAATTTCTCCAGGCTCTCAGCCCAACCCTGCATCCCACAATCCTCCTCTTTACATGAGGGACAGCTCCTATCTCCCTTCACAGTCATCCCACTGTTCCACTCTGAACACTGTATAAGGTATGTGTGCTGTAGAAAATATAGTATGTAATCACTGAAAGATTATAATAATGTATGCAATATAAGAAGAGTTGAAGGTGCACAGGCAAACTAGAATTCCTTAGTTTTTGTGCACTTAGTTTTGCAACGTTTTGATGTAGATTTGTGAATGTCTATGTATTAATGTTACATAGAACCTTGAAACCAAATTCTTGTCACATCTACAGGGTGAACAGTCCCTTGGTTCCCTTAGCTCCTCTTGAGTGCACCTGTTAGGTGAAAGGCTAGCTTCCTGCACCTCACTCCGAATGGAACCAAGCAGTCTAACCACTTTAGGACTGGAGCTCTGGCTTAAAACTCCCTTTGGCTCCCAACCATGTTAACACCAAAAGCCAAAACACACTTTTGGCACCTGTAAGTGTTTCCCTTCAGAAGCCTGTGACAACATAAATTTGTTATGACATAGAAATTGCATCTTCAAAACAAAGCATTATTTATTCATTCTTCAAAGATACAAAGCACACTAATCAAAAGATAAATCAGAGGACTTATACCTACGGGTATTGCTTATCAAAGCTGGCAAGGAAAATTTGAGATTAAGAATTCCTCTGCCCTGCTGGCAGAGAGAAGCAAACATTCCTAGGTGTGTCTGCCAGACTGTCCACTTTCCATTGCCACACAAACTCGCTCTAGAGTCTCTGAGGTTTAGGATCTCCCATGATCTCAGGCTTTAGCCCTGGCCAGAGAAACTTTTCTAGTTTGAATGAAGCCAGACAATTGATTCCCTATTGATGGTCCAACCACTGTTAACTCCTTAGGAGCCATTTACCACAAGGGTCTTATTTTTTGCCACTCTTTCATTACTGGTGGGTTTGCCCTGGCACTTCCTTTGAGTTAACTCTGTATTCAAGCAGATTAGTCTCACCCAGATAAACTGACATACATATGGTTTATTAAAAATATAGAGATTTACCCATTCTCCATACTTGTTGTCTTTTTTTTTTTTAAGGCTAGCAGACTGCCCCCACAACACAGGACATAAAATTTCATCCAGTAATTCTTGCACAGGACCCAACCCTATGATTCTGATTCCAGGTTGGATTAAAAACTGCAATGGATGCACTTATATTTTGGCCTCAAATCTTGAGATTTCTACCATTTTGGCCACAATTCCTTGCAAAAACAGGTCCAACAGTTTATGGCACAACTGAACAAATAGCCTAGCATAAAACCTAACCTGGATCTGAACACACTACTCTCTTGAGCTCTCCAACTTTTAAGGAAGGTTAATTTAAAATAAAGCCATTTATTAGAGAAGAATGAAGATGCATACACTGACTTTATAAGAGATTTAAGCCATAAATAACTGCTAATATCCAAAAATAAATTAAGTCAATATTTTAAAAGTTTGACACTGTAAAAGTTACAGGTTAATAATCCTTTATTTACTGAAACCCGGGGAATAGTATTTGTTCTAAGTGAGCAATAAGCCTGCAGTGAGGATTCTTCCACTAACATTTAGCATTGCCACCTTGAGGTAAAATTCATGGTGAATGAACAAAGCTACAAAATGCCAAATTTATTAGTTGCTTGAGGATGTGTCAAAAGGTATAGATAATCTTAAAATTTCTAGTTAAGTTTCTAATGAAATTTATGCAAATCCTAAAACAAGAGACCCTAAGCGCATCTTTTAGTAGGCACAGGTGGGGGAACTGCAGACAGAAAAGCATCTGTTCAGATGAGACAACACGGATCATTTTTGCCCAATTAAGGGAAAGTAAATA